TACTCTGACCAGGAGCCTGCAGTGTTACTTAGCAGTGAAATTCATGGTCAGCTTGCAATTCATAGGATCCTTCCAGAGACTGTGACTTAGCTTCTGGAGTCAAGAGGATTCTGTTTTGATCCAGGCGATACATGATGAGGATTTGGACTATGTCCACTGCTGTAGGAACAGAGAGAAGAGGATAGACATGTCAGATTTTTTAGTATTAAATAAATGATTGAAGAGTGTTGCAAAACATCCTTCTTGCCTCACATTTTACATGTCCCTCCATTTCTCTCTAGTTTTAAATATAAGAAATAGTTATCATTCCATATCATGTATTATATAATATAAAGTTTTGTCATCCTGTTCACTTAAGAGTCCATGCTAGGCACATTTTTTTTTACGTCTTGGGAAAGTCAATCATTACAAGCACTAACTTTCTAGATTTTTCAAAAATCATTCTTCTGTTTCTATCAGTGTCTATTCTGTCTGCAGTATCTCATTTAGGTTTCCTTGGTCATCACAGGCCCAGCACAGCACCTGCCATAGTTCACCCTTCTTCACAAACTACAACTGTCTCGCCTCTCTAAACTGCCAGAGGATTACCTGCTCTCTCCTCACATTGTCTTCTGGCTCTCATTTCTTTGCCTGATCTGCTGTGCAGATTGAGATTCAGGAACCATCAATGTCTCCTAGGAGTGCCATCAACAGTCTTTGCACACATGTTGCAAATGAACTTTAACTAGGAGCCCCTACACAAACAATATTTTATAGTAAGCTTAGAAAGAGTCATTTTTATGTAGATCATACTGGAGGTAAAAGCATAAATACATGAAGGAGAATCATTGCTAACAGCAAATGCTTATTGTGTATTTATTGTGAGCTAAGTGTTGTTATATAAACTGAAGACAGAAAATGCATGATTTGAAGAGATTTACAACTCTGTTCAACAGGCTGAATGTGTGCATAAGAAAAAAAAAAAAATAACATTTGAGAAACAGAGGTAAGAACACTAGACACAGCAAGAAAAATTGGATTCAAGCCCAGTTCAACAATTCTATAAACTTCAAAAAAGAATTCAGCCTCACTTTTATTATTTTTAAAATGGAGAAAGTAATACCTATTTTTATAGGGCCCTTTGAGACTGAATATAAAATGAAATCATTCATTCATTTAACAAGTAAGTGTTAAACAGGAGACTCTGTTTCATACATGGTGTTAGGGGATAGGGATTAGAAAAGGAAAATCTGGATTTCCACTTTCTCAGAGTTTATACTTTAGTGGGTGAGGTGAAGGGGAAGAAAAGGTGCATAAGTAAATAGATGGTAAAATTCAAAGAGTGAGACCACCAGTGTTAAGGCCCTAAGAAGAAAAATCTTGGCCTGTTGAAGACACAGAGAGAAACCCCGTGTGGCTGGAATGCTGTGACCCAGATGAAAAATGTGAGAAGAAAGTTGGAAAAGGTGAGCAGTATACAGTTAACATCAGCTCATGTTGCTTAAATTTTCTTTTTAACAGATAATGTATCAAGCATCTTTTGTATATGAATACTCAATATAATAACCTTAAAATATTGAGATTAGCATTATTCTTATTTTACAAGTAAGGAAGTGGCATCTTGATCTATACTACTTCCATATCTGGTGGACTCAAGATGGAAATTCAAACATTTTAGTTCCAAACTTGATGTTAACTTGAGGAAGGAGTAGTCCAATTATAGAACATTAAGGTGAAGACGACAAGGAGGAGGAGTGAGAAGGAAGGGTAGGAGGATGTGGAGGAGGAGAAGGAAAAGAGGAGGAAGGAAAGAAAACAGTTAAAAGACTGTTTAGTGTGTATCATATATTCTAATTCATGCAATTATATGTAGACATGCATACATGCAGAAATTAGAAAATATAAACATTCGCTTACCTTGAGATGACCATAACATATTTTTAAAAATTAAGTCATAGACAAATGTGTATAGAATGATTTTTTTCGTTAAAAACACATATATAGAGTTGTGCTTTTATATATTTTATACATGAAAAGATATAATCATGGAGATATGTACACATTAAATTTAATAACATTGGATATCTTTAAAGAAGGCATTAAAATACACCATACTGATAAAGAAACTAAAAAGAGAAAAATGGAGAAGTGGAAGAGAGAATGTAAGTACAAGTAACCTTTCTTTTCATCTGTCAGTGGGTATGTTTATAAAATATATGGTATATCCAAAAATAAAAGCATAAGGATTTTGGCATCAGACTGGATGATGAGACTCTTTTCAAGGTTGTAGGTTAAACATTGTGCAAAGTAATTATCATTTTAGATGGAATAATGTGGCATTTACTTTATCAGTTGTCATAATTATTAATAAAATACTGTTAATCTGCAGATTACTGCATGAAAATTAGGGAGATGTTTTTAATCCATCCTGAGCATCAGTTCTTTCATTATTTCCCACTACTCTTCAGTCCTTGTCATCCCTAAGTCCTTGGATAACCAATATGTAGTTCTTCCATTATATGTCTCTTTGGTTTGATTTTTGCAAGTACCATATGGAAGTTTCTCTGGGTGCAAAAGGGTGGGAAGGGTCATCATCTTATCTTAGACTCAGTCCTCTCCTCGGTGACAATAAAGGACTTTTGGGCTAATTGATTTGAGTTATTTGCTAATGTGTTTATTGCTAATGCATACATTTCTCTAAGTAAAATGATACTATATTCCATTTCATACCTTTAAAATGAACCATTTTAGATTTACTTAGAAAATAAAACTAGTGGTGAAAGTGGAAACAGAGTAGGTGAAGTTATGGCTAAAATGAGAATGAGTTGATCATCTTGAAGCTAGCTAATGGATAAAAGGGAACACATTACAGTATTTGCTGCTTTTGTATATGTCTGATATTTTGTAGAAAGAGACAGAGTGTTAAAAGACTGAGATAAAACCTTAAAAATTTAAACCTTCCATCATCATGGTGTTCAGGTCAGAGCTTACTAGAAATGTTAGAGAAAAACTGAAAAGAATTCTCAGAGTGTCCCTTGGTGTTCTGATAAAATACATGAACAGAAAACTTCCAGAAGTAATGACTAAACCAAAAAAAAAAAAAAAGAGGGGGGATTATCTTTTAGCTGGTGAAAAANGCCACCTGGGAACCCCAAGAGGAGGAAGAAGAAGGTAACAAAAAGAAGAATATTGCCCACGTATGAAAAATAAAACTCTCCCTAGCAAATTTCCATTCCAATGTCCAGAATTTTGTCATATAAAAACTGCAGGGGATATAAGAAATTTAATTTTAAGCTGGAAACACTACTTTCCATCCTAAACCAAAGTAATATCAGTGGGAGGTTAAAGAGAATGTACACTGGCTGGGAAGGTAGCAATGCCTGCCAGAGTCTTCCTCTCTGGCTGTACAACATCCTTAAGCAAACTTCTTCCCAAATTTACAACATAATTCCTCTTTCTCACCTCTCTTATGAGAGATAAGGGCCTGAACTCGAATTTTGTTTTTGTACCTCACCAAAGTCCAGACTTTTACCTTTATTTGAAACAAAACCCAATGTTAAGATTTCTGCAATAATTTAGTTAAGATAACAGGAAATGCTTACAGATTACTAACAGGAGGGCACATTCAGAGGAGTGCATTGAAGAAAAACCTGATCTGTTAAAAACCAAGTAGCAGGATATTGAAAAATCCCAATGACAGACAGATAATGTGAGACTTAACCAAAAAAGTGGAATGTTAAAGAAAATTTTTGGATAGAGACTCACTAGATCTAATAAATACTGAGTGGATGGCAGGAGATCAGGCAATTAAAGAGAGAATCAAAGGTGATGCTTAGGTCTAAATATGCTAGGAACAGGTAAAAGGAAGCTCCCCATTTTTCTCCTCTATGACTTCTGTTATCTCTGAGAAAGGAACAGATTATAATAAGCATTCTTCTTAAGGAAACAATAATATACTCTCTTATTTCTAAATGCTATTCTTCAATTTACAAAGGATTTTTGTGATAATAAATATTATTTATTGAGGGCTTATTATGGGCCAAGTTCCTTGCAAACCACTGCAGTATTATCTTATTTAATCATCAGAGCAATCTAATAAGAAAAAATATGTATTTTTTTCTTATAGATGCAGAAGTTATCTTAGTAAAGATCACACAGCTGGGATTGAAACTCAAATTTGCATTGCTACAAAGGACATGTCCTTTTTTCTTTTATACTGCCTCACATACATTATCATTCATATCCACATATATTTGCATTTTTTGTAAATGAACTTTTAAACATAGAAGCATCTCTAAATTTTAATATGGATATGGAAAGTAGATTGGAAGAGAAATTCCCTTCTAGGGAGCTTTGACTACTATCTTCACTTACCCAACACACCCACCCCTCCACCCCTCACTCTCCACTCTCATGCTCTCTGTGCTAGAACAAAAGGAATTTCAATCCATGACATTAAAATTATGGAATGTTTCAGNACCCACCCCTCCACCCCTCACTCTCCACTCTCATGCTCTCTGTGCTAGAACAAAAGGAATTTCAATCCATGACATTAAAATTATGGAATGTTTCAGACCTCAAATAAAAAAATATGATCAGTACTTTAAGAGAAAGCAGAGAGTTGAGAAAATGAGAGTGTTTGGTGGAGGTAAAAGCTATTGGACTTAGAACACATTGCTTAGGTCAATGGTTTGCTGATTATATAATTAGCTTCAGAAATCAAATCTTGAATTTAGGATAGTCAAGACATACCCTTCTTCTACTTCTCATTGTTTCTTGCCTCTGCTTGTCCTCAACCATGGCCTTCATTCTGTCTGGCAAGTAAAGGAGAAATCAGAACTTCATAAGGAGAAACTTTATTCAGAAAGAGTTTTCAAAGATAAGAATAGAACCATTGCAACAGGGAGAATGCCCTGCAAGTTTCACTAAATAAAAGGGATTTCTACCTAAACTGTGTTGGAAGTGGATTGAAAGAGTGGCATGATTGGATAGAGGATCAGAGGAAGTTTTGCCCTGAGTCCTGCCTATTCGCAGGAGGGGTTGTGTGCTGGAACAGGCTGAAGATGGGTCAGAGTTGAGGGATTTGGGTAGGGGAGAGAAATTTAGTCAAATTCTTGTTATCAAGCATTTTGCTTCAGATGATCAGTGGGGATAAAACAGTTCATCTAATTTATGTGAGAGGCATCAAATATGAATATGGAGGGCTGGTCTTGGCATAGGAAAGCAAGGGGTTGTCCAGGATTCCTGTCATGCAGAAGGGTGGTTCATTGCAGTAAGTCATTCCCAGGAACACAAAGGGGATGAATAGGTTTCTTAACCTTCTAAACACAGTGCTTAGGTAAAGTTCAATGTTGTCCCCTATTCCAGACAAGTTTTCTCTTTGTAGCTGTTCTCCCCAGGCACACGCTTTTAAAGTTAGCTTCTAAAAGCAAAAGAGATATAGCATTCTTTTCTAATTTGGAAAATTCTAGGCAGGGATTCCAAGATGCCAAACGCCAATATCTGTGCTCAGTGATGATAAGAAATTATGATGTAAAATGTCACTCCACAGCATTTGGGTAGAAGTGTTTGGGTAGCAGTGGTTGGGTAGAAGTAGGAGGTATCATAATTCATCCTTCATCTGTTCGAGGATTCATTTTCCTTGAGGGAAGAAAACACAATTAGAGCTGGTCGGATAATAAATTATTCTGAGCAACCAAAGACAACAGCTACTAAAGTCCATGATACTTTGTTTCTTTATGTTTATTTTGTAAATTTTATTTTGAATCATGTACAACTGGGAAATGATTTACTGAAACCTGAAGACACATAGTATCTCCCTCAACAGCTAAGTATCTTTGATATTTGAATGCCTCCACACATCTCTCCATTGTGAGTGGCAGAGCTGTGCTCACTTCACTGTGCACAAAGATGAATGAATGATCACGTTGCCTCAGCCTGCCTCTTCCATTATTCAAAGGGGCTCTGTGTGATACTGACACTTTAAACTAGTCCATGAAATAGGGTTCAGTCTGAAGTCTTATATTACATTTAAGACATATAGCTTGTTGTTATTGTAGCTACTCTGTGCCTAATGGGAAAACAGAAACAGTTATTCTTGAAGAACTATAATACTATATATGAGAATAATAAATGACATATCATCAATCAGGCATGTGTAACATACGAATGGTTTATATTATGTACTTTCATAACTAATGTTTTTCAAAAATGTAAAATTAGACTCTCAAGTGTTTACAAGAGAATTCTCAATGAGATTTTTCATTCCCATTTTGCAGAGAAATTAGTAATGAGTGAAAGGGAGCACTTTAAAAATAGATCCCTAAAAGTGAAAGGAAAACCCAGAATTCTGCCTTTTCAGGAAACATTATACCAGGGTCACTTTGATTTTTACATGTGAAAATCTAATTCACTGAACTGGATTTTGAAGCCTTTGGAGACTTGGAATCTTTAAGAAAGGGTGTTTTTTTTTTTTTTTTTTTTTTAATGTTCTATCAAGGTGTGTCCTAAAGAACTAAAAACTAGTCACTAGTAAAAATGTACTTGTTGAATCTTTTCTGCACTTATTTTGGTACTGAAAAGTAAAAATAAGAAAGTCATACCTGCTCCTTAATTGTCACCAATGCTTCCCATAATTTTCCCCTCACAATATTATAGGAATGTGATAACTTTCTTTACTTAACTTATTAAGAGCATTTTACTTGGTAAGCACTTATTCTATAAACATAATGTATGGGCAGAATTATTAGATGATAGTTTAGAGTTTTTAAAAAACTATGTAGATTGTTGAAGAATTGGCTCAAAACCTGAAAAAAAGTAAGTTTAAATACTGAATTTACCAGTTGATATGTGAACTTGCTTAATTTTTTTAGGTTATTTTTGTTTATTCTTGTTTTGTTTTGTTTTATTTTTGAGATACCATGCGGATTTTAAGAATTTTAAAATATACAAAGAACTTGGCATGATAGTCTAATAGCTATTTGGTAACTATTAAAATTCCATCTTACATTTTGAACTTTTCCTACAACATCCCTCATTTTTTTAAAAAATAAATTTGAAGTGATCTCTGCTACCTGTTTGGAATTTTATTTTATTTACTTTTAATTGAAATGTAGTTTGTAATAGTTTGCATCTACCAACTTCAAAACCCCAGTCTATCCCTCTCCTTCTACCACCCCTCTCCCTTGTTAATATAAGTCTGATCTCTGCATCTGTGTTCCACTTTGGAATTTGATTGTGGCTAACTGAATTTGCTATATGTACCTCCAAAGAAGAGGCTGCTGCAAGCTGGTTTCTTTTATATGTACCTGTATTTCCTAAAGCTCCCACTTTGACGAAGGCCATACTGTTGTCACTAAAGAAATATATCCTGGCCAGGAGGTGCTAAAAGTGAAACCACCACCCAATGCTGCTGGAGGTGAACCATCTGGAATCTCATGCAATTTTTGAATTCTGGAGCCTTCATTTCACTTTTTGTCTTTGAGAAAGATGCTCTGTGGAGCATCTGGGTAAAATATTTTCTCCTGATTTTATGTGTTCACAAACTCATTTGTTTAGTAATGCCAGAAAACATGTACGTTGAAAAAGACTCTTTCTATAAAATCTTCAGTATATGTGATCAGCCTTTCAACTTTTACTGCTCTTTCAATACTTTGGTGGAGATTTATAAAACTACTCTACCTCAGATATTCTGATTCACCTGATCTAGGATGGCATGGCTTATATCTGCTTTTAAAATGCCATGACTGATTTTGGTATTCATCAAAATTTAAAAGTTCTTGTTATTACATCTTCAATATGAAACTGAAGACATATGCTGGCTTCTTAAAGGGATTAGAAAGTAGAGATGCACAACTACAAAGATTCCCAAATATTAATACTTTAATACTAACAGTCAGATTTGTTCCTTGGCTCTTGACCATTCAATATTTCTCTATAATTAAGTGTAAATAGTATTAAATGTGTCAGAGTAGCTTAGATATGATCCTAATGCTCTCCCATTTTGAATTTCCTTTTTAGGGTAAGATTTATAATTAATTCTTAGCATATGTCAGCTATCAAACTTAACATTTGGCATAGATTACCTGGGATGTTAATTGTCCTTATCTGATAACTAAGGGAAGTGATGCTAGTGGGGTTAGTTGAGGATTGTTGACAGAGTGTCCAAATTCATATTTGTTAACAAGGTGCATAAAAAGAGTATCAGTCTGATTCCAGTCAATTACAAATCTTCATCTCCCTCTTCTGAATGTGTCATCCTCTTCAGGGGTCAAGTGAAAACTAAATCTAACTTTTGACTCTCTGTTCTGCCTAATTTCCAGTATTCTTCTTTTCTATTCTTTCCACTAAGGTCCTGAAACTCTCCTTCTTTATTGAAGGTCCAATTTCTAGCCTATTACTTATAACAGAGTTTTTAGACATTCATGAAAAGAAAGTTAAACTTACCTGTTGGGGACAGAATTAAATAACTGTGGTACATTTATTTAGAGGACAAAACGTATCAAAATGATGTATAATAAAATCTCTAACAGTATAACTTGTAACTATTTATAAGAACTTGTAGTAAAGTTTCTGTGAGGTAGAAGCATACAGTAGTGGTACTTATAAATCTCCATAGTATACAGTCTCTGAAATATGCATATTTCTATACATTTATATATCTGTCCTGTGTGTATATGTATGTGTAATATATGCATGCCAAAATTACATACTCTAGGAATTTATAAACGTACATTTTATTTGAACAAAATTATCATATGAAAGGCTTCTTTGATAAATCATCTGTCAGAATAGTGTTGAATTGTGTAAGAAATATGGAGCATTGCAAACAAGTATAATTATTTTCAGTAGTAATTTTTTATAGAGTAGAAGAGCAAATATTTGTGATTTTTCTGTAGCCATCCGAGATATCTTAAAAATAGTATTAGGTATAAAAGACACATTGAGAATTGTATTTTCTAAATGTTAGGACTTAATCTTGAGAAGACAATGTCAAGAGTTATTTGAAGATTTATTCACTTGATTAACATAGGAATGTCATTATCTGAGAACAACAGAAGATAGTAGCTTGACAACCTGTTGATCAAGAGACAATGTGACATGATAAATAAGCATAGAGAATAGAAATGCAGCTTAAAGTATCTTAGCTCTTTCAGAAGTGAAAGAATAATGCAGGGGATGATAAAGTCAGTGCAATACATAACAATTATTCTGGTGAGCTATAGAATCTCTGCTATTTGAGTAGATGACATGGAAAGTAAAGAATAAACTCTTCTTATTTCTTGTTAAGTTCAGCCCAAACATAACTGATTGTTCTAATAGAAAAAAAAAAAAAATCAGTTTTGTGTTGTTAGTATTTGGCAGTGAAAGATTCACAAGCTTCTTTAATATTTTCGATCTTAACAGACCAACCACCAAACCTGACCCAATCTTGGCAACAGTTTTAACAATTTCACTGTTTTTGATTGTTTCCTGGATTCTTTTTTTGATGGGGTTATAATTTTAGGTAGTTAAACTTTCTTTTTTCAAACCTACAACTTTTTATTTCATCATTTGATGACTCAATTTTACATTTGAACACAATAGACGCTTTAGGATAAAATGATTCTTTTTTACTCTTTAAGAAAACTACATCCTTTTCTTTTGCATACAAAATATATATATACTTATATATATATTCAAATATATGTTAAATTAGCCATATGAACATGAGTTTTGTTAACTAACTTCTACTTTACAGAGTGAAATGGGATTTAATACTGACACATCAGCAAAGCTAATAATACTATGCCTAATGGCCACACACACTATTTTTACAACTTCTTTAAAAGGCAAAAATGAAGACATTTGAGAAAATGGCCCAAAGAAATAGCTAGTTACTCTGTAACTTACAAAAGTAAGAATCAAAGGAATATGCATTAAAGCTATATTTGATAAACATATTTTAGTACCTACCTTAGTTAAAAATAATCCAATTAGCTAAGATGTGTTTGTTAGTCACTCAGTGGTGTCCCACTCTGCAAACCCATGGACTATATAGTCCACCAGGCTCCTCTGTCCATGGAATTCTCCAGGCAAGGGTTGCCATTTCCTCCACCAATTAACCAAGATAATTAACTTAACTTAATATTAGTTCAAAATTATATTCTATTAATATAGAAATGGTAGTTAGAAATGCAATTTTATCTAACTGAACACAAACTTTCACTTTTTTTTTAACTCTACGTGGAAGTAATGTTAGCCTAATTTATTAGGAAATGGTATAAAAAGTGTAGGAATTTTATATTAACTAATATTTTAGGGATAAAAGTACAGATTTTATTTAAAAATAAAATAAAATATACAATATTATGTTGTACTCTTTAAAATCAGGCAAAATAGCTGCATAAAAACCTAAATTATCAAAATAGCCTGGCTTGTCTAAGAATTCACTTTAATAACACAACCTTGGTTTATTTTAGAAAATTCTTATCAGCTAAAATTTTCAGTAAGAAAAGTTTTTTGGGGTATTATATACATTTTAATTGTTGTTGCTTTCCCTAAAAGGGTAAGAGGTCAAGAAGTTCAGTTTCTTTATATTCTGGGTTCAGTCTACAAAACCATGTTATGTATTTATATATCTAACACCTTCTAGCAACTTTTGACCATGATTTTAAGAAGAGATGGAGACTGAATTAACATGTGGATCCTTTTATAAATTTGACTAGTCAGGTACCTTTAATAATAATACAAATACTTTCTTTTGTAATTATTTTTACTAAAAAACACTACTTCATATGTATTTAAATAACCCTTAGAAGGCTAATAAAGTAAAAGTTGTCACTGTAGTGATTTCTTCAGCTCAGTTCAGTTGCTCGGTCATGTCCGACTCTTTGTGACCCCATGGGCTGCAGCATGCCAGGCCTCCCTGTCCATCACCAGTTCTCGGAATTTACTCAGACTCATGTCCATTGAGTCAGTGATGCCATCCAACCATCTCATCCCCTGTCGTCCCCTTCTCTTCCAGCCCTCAATCTTTCCCAGCATCAAGGTCTTTTCCAATGAGTCAGTTCTTTGCATCAGGTGGCCAAAGTATTGGAGCTTCAGCTTCAGCATCAGTCCTTCCAATGAATATTCAGGACTGATTTCCTTTAGGATGGACTGGTTGGATCTCCTTGCTGTCCGAGGGACTCTTAAGAGTCTTCTCCAACACCACAATTTAAAAGCATAAATTCTTTAGCAGTCAGCTTTCTTTCTAGTCCAACTCTCACATCCATACATGACTACTGGAAAAATCACAGTTTGGACTAGACAGACCTCTGTTGGCAAAGTAATATCTTTGCTTTTTAATATGCTGTCTAGGTTGGTCATAGCCTTTCTTCCAAGGAGCTAGCATCTTTTAATTTCATGGCTGCAGTCACCATCTGCAGTAATTTTGGAGCCCCCAAAAATCAAGTGTCTCACTGTTTCCATCATTTCCCCATCTGTTTGCCATGAAGCGATGGGACCAGATGCTATGATCTTAGTTTTCTAAATGTTGAGTGATTTCTTAAGACCTTTGAAATGCTCTGACTTGTAATATAAACCAATTTAGCATGTAGGTTATCTTTGTGGAATAGAAAATCCCAAAATAATAAGTAAGTATGGCAGTTGGCTTCCTATAAAGGAAAGCTGGATTTGGTAAGCAAGCAAGTAACCCTACAGTTCTCTGAGCCCCTTGCTGACTCAGGCTCATTCCCGTTTACCACTCCACTGCTACCATCTGGCCCTTGTTCACCTGATCTTCAGTGGCTGCTTGAACCCGTCACCACACCTACGTTCCAGGAAAGAGAATGGAGGAAAGAAGAGAAATGACAAATCCCCCAGGTCTCCAAAGACCCTTTCTGCAAGCTTTACATACTACAGCGCTTACATCTAAATAGTTAAAACTTGACCCCAAAGTCACCAATAACCGAACGGGGACTGGAGGGTTATATGGTCTTTTAGATGTACAAAGCCAAGAGGTTTCACAGCTAAAGAAAAAGGGAGTAATGGTCATTTGGTGGTACTGAGTGACCTCTAACACATGAAATTATCTATGCTAAATCTAAGTTTAACACCATGAATGTAAGTCAATTATTTAATTATACATTTAAAAAATTATAAATTAGAAATGTTACTCTAAAAGGCCAAATTTTCTTAATTTTAAGAACATAAAATAGAAAGTATTAATAGACTCCAAACATTAATGAAACTACTTACCTCAGATTGCATCTTGAGCTCTTCTGGTTAGAACTGAAACTCAGCCAAAACCCTGCTTAGGACTTGAAATTATGTGCCTGGAACTTGAACCCAGCCAAGGTCCACAGTCTTCCAATTGAGATCACAGACCAGGTTTTAGGACCTAATGAAGCTCAGGTTCTTGATTCTTTCATCTAAGAAAGAATCAGTTAGAGACAAAGTAATAGATAAGAAGTGGGTTGTCCATAGAGAAACGCATTCCACAGGCCCAGTGTGGGCCATCACTGAGGGCAAGTGTGGCCTTGAAATGTGGTATGGTTAGCTTTTATGTGTTTGTTCTAAGTTGCTTCAGTTGTGTCTGACTCTGTGCAACGCTATGGACTGTAGCCTACCAGGCTGCCGTGTCCATAGGATTCTCCAAGCAAGAATACTGGAGTGGGTGGCCATGCCCTCCTCCAGGGGACACTCCTGACCCAGAGATGGAACCCACGTCTCTTACATCTCCTGTATTGGCAGGCAGGTTCTTTGTCACTAACGCCACCTGGGAAGTCCAAGATTTCATAGATTGGTAAATTATAGACCAATGGGTAGGAGGATTATTCCAACCACTTTGGGGAAGGGGCAGAGGTTTCCAGGAATTGGGTCACCTCCCACTGTTGATGGCAGGCCTTGGAACGACATGGCACCTCTGGGTGTGTCATTTAGCTTACTGATGCGTTACAATGAGTGTATACTGAGGATCAAGTATGATCCTTAGATGAGGATCAAGGTTAGTGGAAGTTGACTGGTCTGCTACCTTGGGCCCATTTGATTCTAATCAACTTATGTTGTGTCTTTGGGCTATGTCATTCTTTCAAAGGTTGTGCCCTGCCTTCTTCCCTCCTGTTTCATTAATACTCCAATATAGTTCTCTTCAATATCTACAAGCATGGCCCTAAATCTCACTATGATAAAGAACATATACTCATTAAGGGAACCTTTTTGTGTCATGTGTTTTCAATGATCTCTCAAGGCTATGTTTGCAGTTGTCTTCTTGCTTGACAGAATCTTAATAACAGACAAGAACCTGACCAGAGTGCTGACCAGATTCTTGTCTCACACCAGTGGAACTCACTGAGCACTATTTAGTGTTCCAGTGTTATTGTGGCTTCACATTCTGTGTTGCTTAGATTCAAGTTACTAACTACCTGATTGGTCTGACTCATGGAAGTTGAAAGTCAGCTAATTCCACCCACTGTGCTAATCAATGGCTAAACTTTAGAGTTGGTATGACTGATAAGATATTTAAATACCTTCTCATAGAACCAGTAAAGATTTGTTTCTCTCATAGCTTTGTCTTTGTTCCAACCTTTAATGTCATTGAACTACAAGAGACTTTTAAGAGTTATTTCAACCTCTTGGATGCTAGGGTATGCTTTAAGAACATGTTTTGCCAAATTTATGGAGAACCATTCTTGTTTCAGAACTGAATATAAATTGTAGTCACACATATGGATGCTCCCTGCTGAGAACTGGACTTTTGAAAAATAAATGGCTAAGAACTCATGTTCTGTAAAAAGGTAAAAAGGCAACTCCATCTGTTTTTTACTTCAGGCTAAAAGTCTCCAGCTTGTTTCTTCTCATGAATATATCACAGCTGAAGTCTAGCAACTGGCTAACATCTAACTACATAAGAAATAGAACCAAGTGGCTTTCCATTTCTATTTTTCAGGGAACAAAGTTTCTCTCTCCTAGGAAGAGATACATATAAAGTATAGCAAGAGGTATGAAATTTTACTTTCCCCCCCAAAATATTAGATATAGACTCCATCACTATTTTCAATATTCAATTTTGACCTTACTGCAATATGGTGCTTTTAAAATGTAAAGAGGTTCAGTTGCTTAGCTGAGAAATTGGATTCCCATGTAGCAATTTTGTAAACCCTTTCTAGGGACACATTCTCAGTTAATGGGGTCCTTTAGTTTCCTCAGGTAATAAGGGAAATGAAAGATTCTGGCATACAGAAATGTACAATTTTATTATTCCAAAATTCTGTCATGAGCATTATTGGCAGAAATAACCTTTACTCCCTCCAAAAATGGCTATTCTGAGCAAAATTTACTAAAGAATTAAAGGTCTCCTGTTGTGAAATCACACAACCCCAGCCCTGATTCAACTTCATCTGATAATTATTACAATTAAGGGTCTCTTCATAGTTGGAGTCTTGTTTTTCCTGTGGTCTTGGTTTTTATACCTAAGAAGTTTGGCCTGAGAATCACTATTTACACACTTTCATTTTTACTATCATCAAATACTGTTTGAGGGGCTGAATGTAACTCCACTGCTCTTCAGGATGTTGGTAAAAGCTTTACCGAAGTGTTGATCATCAGTTAGTACCATCAGTGAATACTTGTTGGAACTTAGAGATTGTTGCAGTATAGAGATATATATTTTTCTCTTTGATTTTATCTTTGTTTTTCTAATTCCCTACACTGTCATATAATTTCTGGTCATGAATCTATCTACTTCTATTGATTTTAAATTTATCCCAAAATTCAAAGAAACCCCTCTCTTTCTCCTGAGGAGCTGGAATTGATTTTATCTCACACATCTCATCTCAGTTTATTAATGTGACTTTTTTCTGATTTATGGCTGTTAACTCTTCTTCTCAGTGCCTTCTTGACTGCTAGTACTTGTGAATTTTTCATTCAAGATACTCCAGATTTTCTTTAAAGATTCTTTCAATTCATGCGAACAGTATTAAAAAAAATAAAAAACATATATTTATAGAAACTGCTGCTTAAGCCTCTAACCAGGCAAGTGGAAGCACTCTGACTTGGGAATTCCATTAGGAATGTATTAAAGGTTGAAAAGCACTATTAGATCTTTGAGTGAGTCTGCTGAGAGAGTGAGAAGGAAAAGCAATCTTCTTGCTTCCTTCTTAAAAAAAGACACTTCAGTGCCTCTCTACACAGGTACTGTCAAAGAGCCAATTTGCACAACTGTCCCTTATTATGTTCTGTTCACCTGCTAGACGTGTGAGTTTTTGTGGATTTTAGTTGTTGTTACTGTTGCTTGATTGTTTTGTTTCCGTCTCTCAAAAACAAACAAAAAAAATCATCACTGCCTTTCTGTTCAATTCTAAGGGCAAGAATCACTTGCAACAGCAAAGTTGCAATATTGGATTGTCTAAGCTATTTTTCTTCTCTAAAGGGGTGAGGGAACATTTCTAAAGATTGTGGATAACATAAAAAGTAAAAACAAACAAGTTTTGGATAGTAAGGAGAACCATCTAAAGTCTAACATGGTACAGCAGAAAGAGCATAGTTATACAAATGAATCAGACTTTAAGTTTGTATACTAGCTCATCACTGAACAATTGAATGCTAATTTCCTTATCTGTCAAAAGAGATTCACAATATTTAGGTGATAGTGTGGATGTTAGGATTAAATTTAAAATGTTTTTGAGTCCCTGGCATAAAACAAAAACTAAAATAACAGTTTCTTCTCTTCCCCACATTTTTGGAATTAGAAGGGTAACTTTCAAGAGGAAAAGTGGGGAAAAAATAGAAAAACTGTAGTGAACCAGTTGGTCATCTGATGCAAACAACTGCCTCATTGGAAAAACCCCTGATCCTGGGAAAGATTGAGGGCAGAAGGAGAAGAGGGCATCAGAGGATGAGGTGGTTAGATGGCATCACCGATGCAATGGACATGAACTTGGGCAAACTTCGGGAGATGTTGAGGCAAAGTGAGGCCTGTCATGCTGCAGTCCATGGGGTCACAAAGAGTCAGACACAACTGAGCAACTGAAAAACAACAAGTAAAGTAAAACTCAAAAGTAAAACTCATAAATTCATGCAAATGGGAAGATTGAACTGAAATTTAATATTAAGTCCTCTCTCTTCGGAAAGGTGTTGCTGTAAATCTCACATCAGTGTAACTTATTCTTTGTCCATCAAACTTAATCTCGAGGCATTTGACCCTCCACATTTCAATTAAAATTTTATCTGACCCCAAACAGATTCTATGGATAACATTCTCTAAGCTTGCTCTTTCTTATACCTCTGTGTTCCTATTGATTAGTTCATAGAGTCAAGAATCATGTAGCTTTCAGCAGTTGAGAAGCAGGGACGATGGCCAGGAGAAGGATGTCAGATTTCTCTGTCCTCCCAGCCTTTCAAACCTCCCCAAAACCCCTCACTAAAAGGATTTGATCTCCCTTCCCCAAAATCACATTTTATAACTTTATATTACTTTTTATTCAGACTTTCTTTCACAGGTGGGAATCTGAAAAATGATTCTGGAAGACATAGGACCATTTCTTATTATTGGATTCTCTTTTTGGTATTTGACTGCTAATGCTTTTATTAATTCACCTGCCTTGCCACCTTGAATCTCATGCATGTTTCTGAGAGCTAGAGAGCTAGGAAATATACAACAGTGTATAATTTTTTTGATACTGGTACCTGACTAGCAAGTCATATTTTATTCTTTTGGGCACTACCCATGTCAGCCAGTAACTGAGCTTTATTCTCTGGTTCATTTCATACATTTCTGACTCTGGAGCACAAATATTAGGAGATCCAGGTGAATCAATGTGAAGTTCTATCACAAACACAGGCTGTTCCAATGAGCCCAGACTTTCTGCTTCCAGATAGTCATTGTGTTCATATATTCTAAGTGCCTTGATGAACTCCACCATTTTGTTTCTGCTTTATTCAAATATGTGGCATGTCCTAAAGCATATGCATGAAAGATAACTGTGTTTGAAAAGAAACACAGTCTGGGTTTCTGACAAACTAGCTAGGTAATCTCAAGTAAGCTTTTCTTTAACTTCCTGAACTTTTGTTTTCTCATCTGTGAATCATGAGTAACCATACAAGTTTCTTGTTATAACCTCATTACGATGCTGAAATCTGTCTCTGTTCACTGATGCTGAATGAAATCTTGGAGACAGAGTTTTGGGTGAAGTAGAAAAGAATAGCTTCATTGCTTTGCCAGGCAGAGGAGAACACAGCAGGCTCATGCTCCTCAATAACTATGTAGCCCACCTGGGAGGATTTGAGGAATTTAATACTAAAGGTTAAACAGTAGGATTGCTGATAAGATTAGCGTGTGTGCAGAGTCTGAACCCCTTTCATCTCATCCCAGGCAGTCTCCTAATGTTAATGAGCTTCTCTTTGTTGTTTTTGTTGTTCAGTTGGTAAGTCACGCCCATGTCCAGCTGTTTGTGGCCCCATGAACTGCAGCATGCCAGGCTTTCCTGTCCTTCACTATCTCCTGGAGTTTGCTCAAACTCATGTCCATTGAATCAGTTTTGCCGTCCAACCATCTCATCCTCTGTTGTCCCCTTCTCCTCCTGCATTCAAATTTTCCAGCATCAGGGTCTTTTCCAATGAGTCAGTTTTTTTGCATCAAGTGGCCAAGGTATTGGAGCTTCAGCTTTAGCATCAGCCCTTCTAATATATATTCAGGATTGATTTCCTTTAGGATTGACTGGTTGGAACTCCTTGCAGTCCAAGGAACTCTCAAAAGTCTTCAATACCACAGTGCTAAAGCACCAATTCTTCAGTGCTCAGTACTCACACCCATATATGACTACTGGAAAAACCAGAGTTTTGACTAGATGGACCTTTGTTGGCAAAGCAATGTCTCTGCTTTTTAATATGCTGTCTAGGTGTGTCATAGCTTTTCTTCCAAGGAGCAAGCATCTTTTAATTTCATGGCTGCAGTCACCATCCACAGTTATTTTGGAGCCCATGGAAATAGTCTGTCACTACTTCCATTTTTCCACATCTGTTTGCCATGATGTGATGAGACTGGATGCCATGATCTTAGTTTTTTGAATGTTGAGTTTTAGGCCAGCTTTTTCACTCTCCTCTTTCACTTTCATCAAAAGACTCTTTAATTCCTTTTTGCTCTCTGCCATTAGGGTGCTATCNTGGCATTTCTTCCATCAGTCTTGATTCCAGCTTGTGATTCATCCAGTCTGGCATTTTGTATGATGTACTCTGCATATAAGTTAAATAAGCAGGGTGACAACACACAGCCTTGACATGTTCCTTTCTTAACTTTGAATCAGTCT